GTGTTATGCAGTATTTGTCCTTTTGTGACTGAGATATTTCACTCAGTATAATATCCTCCATGATCATCCATGTTGTATAATGTTTCACAAATTCATTGGTTTTCCATGCTACGTAATATTCCATTGTGTTAATGCATCATAGTTTTTCTATCCATTTACTTGTTGATTGACACTTGGGTTGCTTCATCTCTTTGCTATTGTCAATGACGTAGCAATAAATGTAGGAGGGCATAAGTCTGTTTGAGTAACAAAACAGTCTTTGCTTTGTCTTATGGGGCCTCACAGATGCAAATGGATGTAATTTGGTTTTGTTTGGGGAGGGTTTCTAGTTTGTTTATTTGTTATAAGTTATATTTTTATATAATTATATGTTTAACATTTTAAGGATTTCCGTTTTCCCAGATCCTGAGAAACACTTATGATTTGTTTGCTTGTTTGTTTGTTTGTTTTCAGTAGTAGCTGTTGTAGTGGAGTTGAAGTAGCATCATTGTGGTTTTTCATATTTTTACCTCAAAGCGCTATAGTTGGTGGATGTACAGTGAGATTGACACACTATGCTGTTAACAACAAGAAAGTTTTTCAAGGATCGAAGAAAACCATCTTTTTGGTCTTTGACTTTTTCAACTTCTTTTTCTATACTCTCTTCATCACATCCTCTCACTAAAGCAAGATAAGATATGAGTAAAATGAATACTGTCTCATACTTCCAGAGTCATAAATCACTTTTACATTCATTACTTTGTTAAATTCTCAGTCTAATGTCATGCTATCACCATTGCAGGAAGTTACTGGTTTTGTTTATTGTTGTTTGTTATTGTTGTTATGTGCTGTCAAGTCACCTGTGACTCATGGCAACCCTATGCACAATAGCTCTGAGCCCTGCCCTATCCTACGCCAAGCTCACTCTGACGCACCTACCCCCATTACCCAAGTTATTGTGTTATTCCATCCTAGCTGGGGTCTTCCTCTTCTGCATTGTCCTTCCATCCTTCCAAGCATGATGTCCTTATCCAAAGTCTCTCCTGGGAACATTCCCAAAGTATATGAAATGGAGCTCAATAATCCTTGCCTCCAGGTGTAAACTTGGTCTCACCCTCTCCAACACAGACCTATTTGTTTTCTTGGTAGCCCATGTTCGGTACTCTTATCTAGCAACACAACTCAAAGGCATCAATTCTTCTCCTGTCATCTTTAGTCGTTGTCCAGCTCTCTGATGCACAGAGAGTAATTGTGAAGATCATGGCCTGAATCAGGTGCACTTTAGTCTCTAGACTGACATCGTTGCTCTTCAGCACTCTGGAGAGGTCCTTGATAGCAGTTTCCCAGTGCAATTTCCCTTTTGATTTCCTGGCTGCTGGTGCCAAGAGTGTTGACTGTGGAACTGATCAAGCTAAAATTATCAATCTCAATCTCTTCTCCATCTATCAAGGTGCTGCTAATTGGCCCAGTGGTGAAAATATTTGTTTACTTGATTTTGTTTATTAGAGACCAAAAAAAAGGAAAGTAAGCAAAATGTTAGAGGAGGTAAAATATATTATGGGGAGTTCATATAGTAGAAAACTCAATAGCTATTAAAGTGGACTTAGGTATTTCTTTATGTGTTGACAGATTGTTTTTCCCATGGGGTTGTAAATATTTTTTTTAATTTATTATTAATTTCAATGAAAATTTACAGAGACTTTGGATTTCCATTCATTCATTGTTGCACTTTCCTCCCCTCCCAATCCTACCCCCAGTACACTACCCTCTTGGAAAAGTAAAGAAAAACTCTTTCATTGTTTTACAATCCCTTCCCCCAGATCCACTCCACTATGCAGCCTTCTCTCTGGACTCCCATCATGATAAAAATACCTAATGACATATCCCTTTTAAACAGTTTTCTCCATCATTTGTTTCAATGCAGTATAGAATATTGAACCCATCTTTCTCAGTCTCCGCCAACCCTGATGTCAGTCCTGTTTTACAACAGTGGCACCGTGCAGTATTTGTCCTTTTGTGACTGAGATACTTCACTTAGCATAATGTCCTCCAGGGTCACCCATTTTGAATAATATTCCATGAGTTCCTTGTTTTTCAATGCAGCATAGTATTCCACTGTGTGAATATACCACAGCTTCTCCATCCATTTGTTTGTTGATGGGCACCTGGGTTGTTTCCAACTCTCTGCTATTGTGAACAAAACCACGATAAACATGGGTGTGCAGACAGATTACTTTCAAAGTTAAAAGAAATTCATCTCCAATTTGTGTGTGATTCCATTACATTGTTTTTAAAACTATTGGGTGTGGGTGTGGGTGTGTGTGTGTGTGAGAGAGAGAGAGAGAGAGAGAGAGAGAGAGAGAGAGAGAGTGTGTGCTTGTACACACGCACAATGTGATAATATTGTTGGGTAGGTGTCATCTAGTCGTCTGCACCTCATATGAACAACAGACCTGAATTGTGCCCTATCCTGCACCATCCTCAGGATCTCCGATGGGTGGGCTTGAACCCGTTGTTACAGTCACTGTGTCAATCTATTTTGTAAGAGGTCTTTCTCTCTTTCTCTGACCTTCCACCTTTCCCAGCAGGATGTCCTTTTCCATGGATTAGATGCATCAAAAATTTCCTGGGAGAGTCCATATACACTACTAAGCTGTTACTCATTATTTCTCCCTGGCTAGGAATAGGCAAAGTGGAGAAGAAACTCGAACTTTTCTTTTTATCTTTACTTATTTGCTACAAAGTCCATCTGCAGAACTCAATCTCTGAAATGAACTCCCAGAAGAGATAATTATACCCATTTTTCAGAGGGAAAACTCTATGAGGTAGAGTAGCTTGACCATGTGGCAAATATTTGGTGAGCCATTAATGGAAACATATACATTGCATTAAAAAAAAATAAATAAGTGGGTTGAAAACCCTTGGTGAAATAAAGGAAATCTAGCTCACTACAGCCCTGATCCAAGAGTTCATTTGGCTGCCAACTTAACGTGCGTCAAAGGAGCCCCAGCAGCAGAGAGCTGACCCTCAGAAAGGAGGAGGTTAAGTCAGGTAGGACCACATGACGAGGGAAGGCTGACGCATGGGAAACAGGCCTACAGCACCAGCTAGTCTGCCACTCAAACAGAGCATCTTACAGACTGGCACATCTCCTGACAGAGCTACTGCACCAGCCCACTCAGGACCCCTAAACTCCCCGCTTGCCCTGAGGATCAGAGGAAGCCTTAGGATGCCAGTGACAGCTGTTGGTGCAGCCTGGCACGCACGTCTACCCCTGCAAGGCAATTGCTTTCCTAATAAGGGAAATTTATTTTACACACACTTTAGGGGAAATGTCCTGGGAGGGAGCCAGAGCCAGATGGACCCTGAGCTTATTAAAGGCTGATGGTTAGCAGAAAAAAAAGGGCAAATATGTTTGGGTGCTTTTGTATAAATGCATGCATTGATTTACATGTTTCCGTATTTACATATAGATGTGTACAGGTACTTTTAGATGTGAATATGGATATAAACATACAAGCATCCCTCATTCCAGGGCACCACGATAAAGCAAGAATTTCAACAAAGCAAATCATGGGAATTGTTTCTTTACATAAAGCTATGTTTATGTTTATACCATACTATAATCTGCCTGAGAGTTCTGGTGGCCTAGTGGGTAAAGAGTTGCACTACCAAAGGCACGTGGTTTGGATCCTCCAGCTGCTTCATGAGAGAAAGATGGGCAGTCTTCTCCTGTGCAATTTACTACCTCTGATCATCCACTGAAAGGTCAACTGTGAGTCGAGTCTCACTTGATGGTACATACCAACAACAACAGCATAATCTGTTAAGGAGTCCTGGTGGTACCGTGGTTACATGTTGGGTTGTTAACTAAACGGTCAGCAGTTCAAATCCACCAGCTCTTTCATGGTAGAAAGATGAGGCTGTCTGTTCCCGTTAAGATTTATAGCCTTATGCATGCCAATATTTATTGCAGCTTTGTTCACAATAGCAAAGAGTTGGAAACAACCCAAGTGCCCATCAACAAATGAATGGATGGATAAGCTGTGGTATATTCACACGATGGAATATTATGCAGCACTGAAAAACAAAGAACTCATGAAATATTATACAAAATGGGTGACCATGGAGGACATTGTGCCAAGTGAAATATCTCAGTCACAGAAAGGCAAATACTGCATAGTGCCACTTTATAAAACAGGACTGACATGGGGATTGGGGGGAACCAAGAAAGAGGGGATAAATAATGTACCCGGCATTGAAACAGATGAGGGAAAGAACTATATAAAAGGAATATATGATTAGGTATTATTGGTATGACAAGAGTGCAGAATAAGAGCTGCGTAGTAAAGTGGACTTGGGTAGTGGAGTCTGTATAACAATGAAAGAACTTTTTTCCAAAGAAAAAAGCCAATTTGGGGTGGGGGTGCAAGGAGGAGAATGTACAACAATGAATGAGTGGAAGTCCAAATTCTCTATAAACTTTCATTAAAATCTCAATAAATAAAAAAAGAAAAAGATGAAATAGAACTCTTACATATTTTTAATCCTAATAAACTTACTGCAATGTAAAGAGAGAGGAGAAAAAAAAATATATAGCCTCAGGAATTGATAGAGGGTGACAGGCACTGGAACTAACTTGATGCAGCAGGCTTGGTTGAGGCTTAGTAGAATATTAAATGCACAACCACATTACCAAAATATTTGAAAGGGTGGAAGAATTATTAAAATGTGGCACAGATGCACAAAGTGAGCATGTGCTATTGGGGGAAGTGGTACTAATAAAATTTGTTTGAGGCAGGGTTGCCACAAACCCTCAGTTTAAAAAAAAATACAGTACTACAAAGTGCAGTCACGTGACGTGTGCTTTCGGATCTGAAATCACTACCATGAAAAGAGTGTGTTTTCAGTTGCTCTTCAAATGGTCGGTCACCACAATAGAGGGGGTTTGTGCTGTGCCTCCCATCAGATGGTTTTCCCGTCAGATTGTTGATCTTGTCACTGCTTTTGTCTCCTGCCAGGTGCAGCTCATCCACTATAACCATGAGTTATATACAAATGTCACAGAAGCTGCAAAGAGTCCAAACGGATTGGTGGTAGTTTCTATATTTATAAAAGTAAGTCTCTCGCATTCCTTCATTCTTCTCATCTCGCCAGTCCCACCCCACTTAGAAAGAATATTGGTTTACAGTGTCTGCTGGACGGACGGTGGACGTGAGAAATAGGAAAAGGGATGACTTTCATCTGTACCCAAATAAAGCACGGTGCTGTGAAGCCTCTTGGGAAAATAAAGCCTCCTTCCATGATGGGCACGAAACATGGGCTCCATTTCAGACCATCAGGCCCAAGACAGCTTCTGTCTCAGAACAGAAAGTGTACGAAGCCAGGTCCAGGGTCTGGCTTCAGATCCACCTGGAGCAGAGGGATCTAAGGCTGTGGTGGGAGGGGAGGCGCCCCTCAGGAATAGCCCCGCAGACTAATGGTCTCTCTTTCTGCTGCCCATTGGAAAAAAGAGAAGGAAAGAACTGTGAATGTGCCTCCCCTCCTGGCCCTGCAGGGTACCAGCCTCGAAGCTGCCCCCAAATCACTCTGAGGCTCTTTTCCTGGTTGCACACCCTCCGGCCTGAGCATTCCCAGGGAAAAGATAGCAAGGCTCCCCAGTACTAGCTTTATGACAGTCAAGCAGAACCCCGCAGTTCCTTCACAGTTCACAGCAGCAAATAAGATCTCCAGCCAAGCACATCATCATTTGTTTCAAAAAACTTTAGAGCATCTAATAAAAGTCAAATAACTTAAAAAAAAAAAAAAACACCCAACCATTTAGAACTCTGATCTGTAGGTCGAGCCTTTCTGGTCGTTCAAGTCCACTGTCATTTCTTCACTGCGGCTTCCAGCTTCAGAAACCCAGTGGTGAGTCAGCTAGAAGTGGGTTCTAACCCAGCAGCAATGAGTTTTCACATGTTAGGTGATATTCAGCAACAGAGGCAAAATATAAAGGATGAAAAGAAAAGAAAGATAAATTATCTTTGTCCTTGGGAAAAATAAAAAGCAAAAAGCAGTGCATGCATCACCGCACTAGCCCCTCTGGTTGTTTGGGTCTCACTTTAGAGGAAGTGTCCCCCATCAACACAACTGCAGGAGCTGAGCAGCAGCACCACAGAAGGCTTCCGGATGACATCACCACTCTGTGGTGACTGGGCCTCCAAGGCAGCCCTGGGGCATTGCTCCCTCCCTCTCCCCAACCCATCTCTCTTTGCATCAGGCATTTCACTCAGCCCGGTCAGCCCTCTCCAGACCCCACACCTCCCTACAGTTTCTTTCTCCTGTGATCCAGGCAGCCCGGGATTGGACAGGGAGATCTGTAACATCTTGCTGCCCATGGACACTGCCAAGCACAAACTTCTCTGGCTTGTCTATAGCAAAGAAAGAAAGAAAGGGGCATCTGGCCAGCGGAGCATGTTTAGGCTGTCACACTTTCTTCACACCTGATGTGACATCAAAAAAGAGACTGTTGCTAGCACAGATCCTGCCCTGTACCTGCTCCAGAGAACCTGACACACCACAAACCCTACAGTAAAGCCCAGTGAATTCCTGAATGCCAGACACCTTGAGGTCTAATTTCCGTGTATTTTATCATTTAATCCTAACAAATGTAGGGGGTGGGCATTAGTTATCATCATGCTTGGAAAGATGGAGGGTCTACAAAGGAGAAGACCACTAAGGAGATGTGTTGACATGGTGCCTTCAGCAATGGGCTCTAGCGTGTCAGTGATGATGAGGATGGCACAGGAGAGGGCGGTGTTCAGGTCAGCTGTGAGTCAGACTTGATGGCATCTAACAACACCACCAACAATTTTTTAGGGAAGTAGCTGAAAATCCACCCAAGTTCAAGAAGTTCATCAAAATGCATCTGAGGGATCCAAGGTTTGCCTGACTTTGATACTGATGACTTCATCCCCACTATGTGGTATTATTGTTGGATGACACTGAGTTGATTATAACTCGTGTTGCTGCTGTTGTTCGGTGCCATCAAAGAGACTACAACCCATAGCTGCCCTTTGAACCTCAGATCCAAACTCAGCCTGTCTTGAGCCATCCTCACAATCTCCAATACCCTTAAACTCACTGCTACCCTCACTGTGTCAACCCATCTAGTGGACGGTCATCCTCTCTTTCTCTGACTCCCACCTCTGCCTGCATGTTGTATTTTTCCAAGGACTGGGTCCTCCTGACAACACTCCCAAAGGGTGAGAGATGAGGTGACCCCATGTGGCATTGCAGAACTGTCCCCTAGATATTTTCAGGCTGTCATCTTTATCGAAGCAGATCTACACATCTTCTTCCTGTGGAGCCTGTGAGTGGGCTGGAACTCTCAACCTTTTGATTGGCAGCCAAGCACTTGAGTATGTGCTACAAGGATGTTACTCACATCATAGACCTCCCCAAACTAAGAGGAAATCATTGAGGGGGGAAAGAAGGAAAGCCACGTTTTCCAAGCCCTCTTTCCCGTGTTGTCCTCAAGCACAAAACAGACTCATAGCCCGAGGTGAATATCAGTGATGTCAGTGACATGGATAACCTGCTGAGTTCAGTCCGGTCACATGCTCTGTTGTGAAGCCTGCAGAGCTCTTGCCATGGCCCATCATGCAGCAGAGCTCACCTGGTTCTCGGCCAGAATTTGGGAGAGTCAGAGGGAAGGTGTCAGATGTTCCCTGAGTGACTCCCACGCACCAGGCTGGCCCATCCCAAGCAGTCCTTGTCTTTTAGAGGATTTCTCAGCCTCAGTACTTGGCTTTGTCTCACTTTGCTCAAAGCTCCTGAGTCAGAGAAAGTCATCCTAGAAGTGCAGGCACGTTACAGCTGACAGGATGATTGATAAGCCAAGAAAGCAACCCCCTCAACAGCCAGGCTACTGGCTTGTTTCCCAACCTTTTACAGAAACGCTCGCTCCGCCGAGATCACTGGCCGGCGGTCCACACTCCTTCCTCCCTCCCTGTGGGTGGCTAGGAGGCGCTTAGGCCCCAGACCGTGAGGTCAGTGAAAGGATGGAGACTCGCTCCTGCTTCTTCCCAGGCCCAGCTGGCTGCTAGCGATGCTCCAGGTCTTTCCCTGAGCCAACTTGAAGGTTGCTGGCTACAACTCAAAATAAGCCACAACGCTTCTATCTGTGTCCAATGTAATCAACTCCCAGCTGTTCCAAACAGCAAGTTATCCCAGCTTGGACTTGCCAATCCTTCCTTCCGAAGGCTGGCTGAATGGAAGAATGGAGCTAGTCCTCTGCTAGGCACTGGTACACTGAACTGAAATGAGCAAAGGCTTGGTCTCTGAGGGTGCACAGTGCTTGACCTCCCCTTCCCCTCCTGACGTTTCTACCTACAGGCAGCTCCCAGCAAGCAGACAGAACCAAGCGATGCGCAGTCCAACACGTAGGTCAGCTGAGCCCCACCATCACCCTCATCACACCCTGTGCCACCCAAGAATGGAGAACTGTGGGCCAAAGGCGAGAGAGAGCTCTGTTTATCTGTGGTGTTTATGTATCTCTCTGCTCAACTAATCCTCCACCCTTTCTGTGGCCACAGGGAACCAAGATCTGGCTGTAATTGCTGTTCAATCACACGCCATTAACTTCTCACTTAAGCTCACTTATACCAAGTACATATTTTATCCTCTCACCCACACAGCCAACACACCAAAACCCACAAATCATCTGCGTGCGCTTTAGAAAATTTTCCATGTTTTGTTAATCAGTTCGGAAGGGTCCGGTCCCAGCCTCAGCACTGTTCAGACTCCCCAGGTTCCAGGAGCCCAAGGCACTCAATTAAGGGACATGGCAGATTCCACGCCCATCAGGATGGCCTGTCACTGGCTCTTTTTTCATGAAGATGTGCCAGCACAAACAGGAAGCTTCAGGCTGCCTTTTAAATGGCTAGAGTCAATGTTGAGCCTGGCACTGATGCTTCCAGGGGACAGCAAGTGTTGAGTTTGGGCTTTGCTCTATTGAACTGACTTTTACTTCCACCAAGTACTGTCACCCTCCCAAGCTCTACATGGTGTGCATCTCACCAAAACACATCCAGGAAACTACGCGAGAAAGAGAAACAGATGGAGAGAAAATAAACAGTCTGTGCTTTCTCCAAACTCGAAATTACCTGTTGCTTATCTAATAATAATAATCATCTGCTGCAATTTTCCCAACCTTCAGAATAAATCAGATTTAAAATGTTGATGTGTCACAACATCCGATTAGCAGCTGAGGCGTAAATTGCAGAGCTGAGCAGGTAGGAGAAGGGTGATTGGGATGAACAATGTGGAACCTTGGGAAAGGGTGTGTTAAAAGGGAGTTGTTAAGAAAACAGCGTACACTGGTCTGTGGGGGAACCTCACGTATTCCAAACGGTGGTTCTCAGCTGAATCCTCTGGAAGCTTGGTTTGTTCTCCCAGAGACTGAACATGGGGGAATGAGGGCATGGGCAAAGAAGGTAAATTTTTCCCTTACCATCTGGTGACATAAAAGGCATTAAGTATTGGCTGACTCGATGGGTATATGAATGGCTGCATAGATGGGGTAGATGGATGGATATCAGGATGAAAAAGTAATTGAATGATTTGATTTGTGATATATTCAATTCCCATAATGATAGGCAGTAAAATAACACATTTCTGTATTCTAATAGACTATTTTTTTTAATCTGACCATGTCTTTGTTTTGTGTATTCATTTCCTCTCATTCTCTGCTTATCTAAATAGCACACCTCGTAACATGTCACTCCCTACCCTTGGCTTAAAAATCTTTGATGGATCCTTATGCCCACAGAATAAAGTTTCAATATTTAAAAATTCAAAACCTGACATGCTTTAGTTCTTAACCTCCTTTCCATCCTCGCCTCCCATCCTTCTCCCATATCCTCAGCTCCAACTACATACTAAAACAGTACAGTGACTAGGCCTTTGTCCTCCATCGACTTGTGTGTACATAGCCTCTGTCTTCACCATTTTTCTTTGCCCTTCTCCCTTCACAATGCTACCACTGAAGCACATTGTTCGCTTCCCCTCATCCTTCAAGATTCAGCTAATGTCTTAGGTCCTGACTGGGTTGTGCTTCCTCTGATACCATCATTCTGCCATAACTCTGACGAAGTCTGATGGTGCAACAGCTAAACCCTTGACTACTAATCAAAAGGTTGAGGGTCCAAATTTTCAAACTCATCCAATAACTCTACCCGAATAAAACTTGGCAATGTGCTTCTAGAGATTGTCAACAAGGAAATCCTGGGGGATAGTTTTACTCTGTCAAGGCTCATTGCTGTGAGTCAGATTCACCCAAGAATAATCGTCACACTCTCAACTCTGCGTTATAACCATCTGCCTCCTTGTCTGTCTCCCTTCTTATACTGGGCCTTTCTTGAGACCAGGATCTATATCTTCCATCTCCAAATTTTAGTGTTTGGCACATGGCAGCCCTTAACAAATATGAATGACTATGTAGATGCATTGAGGTGGTGTTTATTCTGGAACAATACTGTGCAGACATTAATATTTTCTTTTTTGCTTCTCCCTAGGTTTCTGATTCATCAAACCCATTTCTTAATCGAATGCTCAACAGAGATACTATCACAAGAATAACATATAAAAGTAAGTTTGGTTCCATTTCCATCCAGCAACTATTCAAGAAACATTAGTCCGGCCTCAAGGCAGGAAGCCAGAACTGATGATCTCTGAGGGTCCCTTTCAGCTTCATGAGCCTTTAATTCTGTAAAAAGTCACTGTGGAGTGTCAGGGTTGGCTGTGAAGCAGCTCATCTCAAATGCGAGTCCCCAGGGTGCCTTTGTCATCCCCGCCTGTCTAAGGCAGTAATGATTATGATGATGGTGGTCATCGTTAGCCCCGGATTGTTAATGAGCCCACGTGTCAGCTGGCTCCCATTTGGGGCTTTGCCAATTATATGATTGGAAATGCTTCCAGTAGGTACTTGGGGTCCAACCTTAACACTTGCAGAGGCCCTCGGGCAGACTAGAATTCCCTGTCCATGCCTCACATCCGCTTCCGGGTGCAAACAAGAGGATGTCTCTATGCATTCCCACAGGGCACCTAGTCTTCCAGAGATCCTACTCCGTTCTCTTGGGGTCCTTGAGGGCGTTTATCCCCAATCTCCCTAAGCAGAAAAGAGAACACATTGATGCCGTCCAGTCGGGTCAAAGTTGAAAGGGGATAAGAAAGAGTGAGTCCAGAAGCTGCAGGATTTGCAAAAGAGCACAGATCAAAAGATGAAATAGACTGGAACAGAAGAAGCAGTTATCCGTATAGAAGTGAGCAGGAAAGTAGTTGTGACCTTATTTCTGAGGAAAACACTTCCCCACTTTGAGCCTCTCTTTCCTCTTCTGCAAAATGAAGAAGTTGAACTTCAATGGGTCAAAGGTCTTTCTAGGTCTAGGATTCTGAATCAAGTGGTAGGTGAATAATGATTTCAGCAAACATTAGAAACCACATGGAAACTATTCTAATGCTGCAGAATCCCTCAACGTGACGTTCACTAACTAAGGATCTTCTTGTTCCCATTTCTTCTGCCTCGCATGATGCTGTCTGTGTAAAAGATAACGTGAGGGTTTGCAGGTCTCACCTGTAAAAAGCTGCTTAAGGGAGAGAATGGAGGGTATCCATTTAGCAAACTTCCAGAAGCACAGAGCACATGCATTCATTCATTTCACAAACTTCCACAAGCTTCCAAAAATGCAAAGATAAGCTAGACGCTGTCCTTACCCACCAGCCCTCACAGCTTCATCCCTTCCATATGGAGAGGTGAGGAGAGGGTGATGAATGAGCCCGGAGAGTTACACTCTGCTGAGACAGACATCACCCAGAAGAATGAATTAAGTTGTCTCCAAAATCACCCCACCCTCCACCATCAGTATTCTGGTGGCGCTCTCTCCAACTGCACGCTTAGATTGCTCAGCTAAGGGAGATATTTCTGTCTCTTGTGTAAATAGCACATTTTAGAACTGCCCATAAAAGGTTATTATTCTTTTAACTTTTTTATTAAAAAAAAGAAGCATGAAAATTAAATAAAATGTTTTCAAATTTGCAGCTTAAAAGCTGTGAAAAGCCGTGAAATCTCACATTCAAGCCCCCACATACAGCCTAACAGATTGCCGGCTTCAGAGTCACTTGTTGGTGGCACCTTCGTCCCCTCCCCACCCCCGAACTGGCCTGATTAATATTAGGTGATGTGGCTGCTGCCCAAGGTGACAGACTCGACTCCGTACACCAGGAGGGGGGCCTCTCTCCTCACCAGGAATGGAGTAAAATCTCATAGAGGCTAAAGAGTCAAGGTGGCAGATCTCATTGGGACCAATGATGAATGGCAGTTTGGTTACCAAGGAAAACTTCTACCTCAAAGGAGAGATCCCTGTTTATTGCTACCCCATGGGAACATACACAGACTATCATTAAAGCACAAGGCCTCCATTCATTCACTCAAATATTTATTGAGTGGCTGCTAACTGCCAAGAAGTAGAGGGATCAATAGAATGTTTCCTGTCCTTACAATCTGGTCAGAGACACCAATATATCACAGCATCCCGTACAGAATAAAGTAACAAGTAAACTATTATAAACATGAATGGAACCCTTTGAGATGGCAGAAAAGAGAATTACCAGCTCTGCTTGGGATTATATGCAGAGGGGGCGCGATACAGGTGCTATTCAAAGAAAGATTGTATAAATTACTATTGTCTATTGGGGCTGGGTAATAAAGAAAAAAAGAAGGAAGGAAAGGAGGCAGAAGAGAGTGAGGAAGGGATGGAGCAAAGGGAGATGGATGGAAGAAAAGAAAGGAGGATTGTTCCGAGTCAAGGGAACAGAAGGGACTATGAAGAATTCAAAGGGAAGATTCTACCTTGGGCATCTCTTTATCTCAGAGCCTAATACAATACCTGAGTTACCAGAGAAAAAGTATTCTCCTGCATTATCAGAGAATTATCTGAAGAGCCATGATGTCAGTTGGAAGACTAAGGTGCGCCTAATTCAGGCCATGGTCTTTTCAGTTACTTGTTATATATCTGAGAGCTGGATGATGAATATGTACAACAGAAGAAGAATTGGTGCCTTTGAGTCATGGTGTTGGAGAAAAGAACTGAATCTCCCATGGACTCCCAAAAGAAGGAACAGGTGGTATACCTTGGAAAAGGTGCAGCCAGAGTGTTCCTTGGAGACAAGGATGACCAAGGTTCATCTCTTATATTTTGGACGTGTTTCTAGGAGAGGCTATTCCTTGGAAAGGGATATCATGCTTGGAAGGGTGGCAGGTCAGTGAAAGAGAGGAAGACATCCATCAAGATGGATTGACATGGCGAGGGCAGCAATGAGCTTAAGTGTATCAGAGGTAGTGAAGATGGCACAGGATAGGACAAGACTCAGGTCTGTTGTTCAGAGTCGCTATGAGTCTTACTCAACTTGACAGCACTTAATAACGACAACAGGTCAGTAGTGACCAGGCAGAAGAAATAATAGGACAGATGTTCAGGAACCAATCTTGATGCTTCTGGGCTCAAGCTTGTGTGCTCTAGGCAGGCAGATATCTTTGAAAATAATGTCCTCACATTATTTCTAAAGACACACCCCTACAAACGCAAACAGAAGGCACTGGAGCATGTCCTCTGCCTCTGCAATGGAGCCTGGCAGGGCCAGAGGAAAAGCTAGAGACTCTGACCTGCACGGGGCTCAGGACTGCTCTGGGCCCCTAATAACGGGCATTTTGTGCTCTTAGGCTCCGTCCTAGAATAATCACATAGTCAAAGGGAATAACACAGCCTTATCACATACCCAGAGGGAGTGACACAGCAGGGATAATGATGACCTGATCCATGGGAATGACTTAGACTCATGCTATGCCCAAGACACCGGCAGGAAAGGATTGATTTGCTCAGCAGGAAACCCAAAGCACTGTTACCTCTGGCTAAATATCCCAAGGCATCAAGAGGTGGCTGGTGGCTAGTCGAGGAGTTTCACTCAGTAGCACAGTCACAGTGAGGATTTCCTCCCAGTTGGTGGCTCTGTGGAGGCAGCAGGGCACGCTGGCATCAGCCAGTGCATTCAGGTGACACAAAGACAATGCCACCTGCTCAGTGGCACCTCTCAGGACAACCTAAGATTGCACGCTGTCCACCCACCCTGACTAGCTGGTGCCACCCGGACCTCACCCTGACAGCCATGTACGTCCCTCATCCTGTTGATACCAGGATGGCATCACAGCCTAACTTCAGTGGCCCCAGCTCACTCAGATGCTGGATTCATTCCACAGCATGCCGAGCTTCAGAAACACAGAGGTGACGCCAACTCAGGATTCCCCACATCCCAGCTCTGTGCTAAGTGCTGTGTCTGCCTGCAGCACCTTATCTAGTGCTTACAAAGCACCTACCTCCAAAGTAGATCATTGTTAGTTATCCCTAGTTGTGAAGTCATTTGGCCAAAGACACACAGTGAAAAAATGTCCGCATGTTGTTGTTGTTGTTGTTATGTGCCGTCAAGTCGTTTGCGACTCATAGCGACCCTAGGCACAACAGCCCTAAACCCTGCTCTATCCTGCGCCAACCACACTGCCTCTGACACACCCATCCCGATTACCCCAGTCACCGAATCAATCCATCTCATGCAGGGTCTTCCCCTCCTGCACTGTCTCTCCACCCTCCCAAGCATGATGTCCCTCTCCAAGGACCCGTCCCTCCTGGCAATATGTCCAAAGTATATCAGACGAAGCCCCGGAATCCTTGCCTCCAAGGAGTAGCTTGGTTTAATCCTCTCCAAGATGAATCTGTTTGTTTTCCTGGCAGTCCATGGTACATTCAGTACTCTTCTCCAGCACCACAGCTCAAAAGCATCCACTCTCCTTCTGTCCTCCCTAGTCATTGTCCAACTCTCTGATGCATAACAAGCGATTGCAAAGACCATGGCCTGTATCAGGCGCACCTTAGTCTCCAGCGAGACACCGTTGCTCCTGAGTACTTTAGAGAGGTCCCTAACAACAGACTTTCCCATCGTGATACGCTTTTTGATTTCCTGACTGCTGGTGCCAAGAATGTTGACAGTGGAGCTGAGCAAACTGAAGCTGTGAACACTCTCAATCTCTTCGTCATCCATCCTGATGCTGCCAATTGGTCCAGTGGTGAGAATCTTTGTCTTCTTGACATTGAGCCTCAGTCCATACTGAAGGCTGCAGTCCTTGACCCTTCGCAGCAAGTGCATGAGATCCTCCTCAGTTTCAGCAAGCAGGATTGTGTCATCTGCATAACGGAGATTGTTAATAGATCTTCCACCAATCCTGATGCCACAATTCTCCTCATAAAGCCCAGCCTCTCAGATAATCTGCTCTGCATACATGTTGAAAAGGTATGGAGACAGGATGCACCCCTGGAGTACACCCTTCCCAATTTTGAACCATGCAGTGTTACCCTGCTCTGTTCTGACTACTGCCTCTTGGTCCAAGTATAGGTTTCGCATATAGGTCATCAGTATCTCCATGATCAGCAAGCATCCAACCAAAAACTTTAATAACAAATCAGAGTGGCTCAGCTAGAGATCTTCAGGTCAGCTGGAATGTCCTGAGTCCACATGACTCATTTTTCTTGGATCAGGAGGAA